AGACTAGGACACAAACCTGCACAAATCTTAACACTGCTTTGAAGCATTGTGGTCTCGCTGACTTTCAATACCTGACTTCTGGTAGAAGTCCTTACATCTGTATGCTTTGTGATGGTTACTTTCTTGCACTGTCACCAATATAATCTAATAAATATAAAAGCAATTTCACATTTTTTTCTCCTTTTATTTTTGTCTCACAAACATCAATAACAACAAAACAAAAAAAGCCTTGTTTTTAAATAAAATTCCACTGGCATTATAAAAACAATGGAATCATATGTCATATACAGAGCACTTAAAGTAGAGGTGAGGTAAACACAGGGTATTTAAAATCATGTCTTAGTGTAGTGTTACTGTGGGCAAAAACACTGCCTTCAGTGGCAGTAAGATTTTTGAAATGAATGAACCTAGAATGTAATTTACTGACCCAGCAGACATTATAACCATTATTTTCCAGCAAATTCTTCTATAGCCCTAAAATTTTTAAAGGAGAGTGTAGAAAATTCCAAATACATTTTTACTATGGAAATTAAATCTTAATGATTACCTAAACATGATTACTACTACGTAAAGGTGTAGTCTGGCCGTACCAATTAGTTAAGAAATTCAAAATTCTTAGAAATTCAAATTTAAACAGTGGAAAGCTTAAGGCTGCCTGTGCAGTAGGTTTTTGCAGAAGTGCATCACAGTGCTTAGTTCATACACTAAATGTGCTGTACATCCTAAAGAAAAAAATAAACAAAAAGTCAATTCAGCAAGTTCCAGTGAGTGTTTCTGAGATAACACGTAGTGGAGTACTCCTTTAGATTCAGGACAGATCATGGAATTTCTATAAGTTGAGTGTCAGGATCAAATCGTTCTCTGGTGGGAGAATTCAAAGGCAATGGTTTCAACTGGTTGGATGTTGAATTACTCTAGAGATCAGAGTGTATTTAGCCTATCACATTGTTTTGTAGTAGTGCTGGTTGCAGTGATAAAATTTTACAAAGTCTGTGCCTGCTCTTAATGGCACTTTATTCTTCCCTTTCCTGAAGCCACCTGCACAGGAGAGGCAGCTTGTCAAGTTTGATCTTGAAAAGTTGGAGAGAAATTTGGCCACCAGCTTGGGTTTCTTTCTGTTCTTGGAGTCTGTGGTCAGCTCAGCTACACAGAAGTGTGCGAGCCACCTTTTTTGCTTGCACTGCTGCCATCATTTTCTCTGAATGCCTTTGCTTCTGTAACTGCAATGCTAGTTGTTTTAGAAGCAGTTTTGTTTTTTAAAGACAGAACCCTTCCTGTTCCTTAGATGTTCTCACTAGTTGTGCTGTGTTGCCTGTCCTGAGAGGTCATTTTCATTCAGTGTAATTTCCATTGCTGTGGTAAACTGTATCACTCTGGCTCCCATTGCCACACACAACACTAAACATCACTGACTTTCTAACAAGGACTGTCCACCCTAAGACTTCTAAGATTAGCATTCACGTACCTCTGGGACAAAGCACTGCAGATTGCTCAGCTTATCAAATGGGCCACCAGCTTGTATCATTTCAGGGAGAATCAAATTGGAAGTTGCTTCTTGAACTAATCAGGGCTGATTTGCTCTAAAGTTGCTTCCTGACTTAGATCTCAGGCAAGGAAGTGCTGTAATCAGTTCCCAGGGGCTGTCAGAGTTGTGATGGGATATTAAAGGAATGGTACACTACTTTTTAAGAGTTTCCTGATCTTGGTGGCTGCTTGTGTCTAACACAATTAAACCCGAGCTTGTTGTATAGAAACAGAAATCAATCTTAAATCTTTAAATAAGAAGAAATAAGAAATCTTTAAACAAGAGACAATTAGATTTGAGGCTGAAGAACTGAATTTTGGAAGGAATATCCCCAGTATTCTGTCAGCGTTTACTCCATTTGAGTTAAAGATATAGAGTGCAGAATTGTTCAAAACCACAAATTTACTACCCATCACACACACACACGTACACAAAAAGAAAAAAAAAAGAAAAAAAATCGTCATGAAAGAGAAAATGAGTCCCCCTGAGTGTCACTGTTTGCATATTAGCCCATAGTATGGGCTCTGCCAAGTTGCTCTCTGACTGACTGCTGCAGATGCTCTTTCTCAAGTATTCTGAGTGAGATCTTTAGTGCAAGTCTTCGGGGACAAACAATAGCACCTGTTCCTCACAAGATAGCAGCCCAGTTAGTTCATTCATGTATCTTTAATGAAGCTCTAGGGCAGATGGCAAAAAATGGCATCATCAACAACTTAGCACAGAGGAGACAAAAGGGGAAAGTGCCGATCCAACAATACGCTATTTTTACGAATGCAAAGAGACAGAGTCAAGTTGTTTCTCGGGCATCTGCTATCGTTTTGCTTTTCAGAAAGACCTGAAGAATATCTCAGCAATTAAAATTTCTGGGCACGTAGCCGAATTTATGAAGTGCGCCCATTAGTCCCTCCTCCCATTTCTCCCCCCTCAGTAAAATCAAAATGGGGGGGAAATGCAGCAACAAATCTCCTTGAAAAAAATTGTAAATAAAACCTGTCTATAGTATTTTTGATACTCATTTCACATCTAACAATACAGTTATCAGTGATGCTTGTGCAATCACTGGCCTTTTAATGTTTATTTGTGCTTTTCACTTGACCTGTGCTGATAATGGACATCTATGGATAAAGTAATTCTGGATGAAACCAGCACTGGCCTAGGAATAGTATTTAACATGTGTCAGTGAGAAGACCAGTGGGAGGGAAGGATTGTCATTTGATATGGGCTTCTTTCAGTAATTCTTTTCAGTGTAAGCTGCCATTTGCACTCTAACTGTAAGTCCCATTTAGTCAGATTTATGTTGATTAATATAGGCCGAGGACCTGATCTCACGTTCAAAGTACCTCATAGACGGGGAGCAGATAGGGCACGTAGATTGAACATGCAATAGTAACTCTCCACACTTGCAGAAAACATTGATAGTCTTAAAAAGTCTTTTGGATACCACACTACAGCATTTCATAGCGAAGAAGCCAATGACCATTTTAGGATTGGGTGCTAATAATATGTTTCAGATTAATTTTATGACACCATGGTGTGAAGAGTTACTGCGGGTGTATGTTTACAACATCTAACTCCTGCTCCGTTTTCCTGAATCTTCTGAGTTTGTGTTAGTGTCTTGTACCTGTGCAATTTCCCTTGAAATACCAGCTGTGCTTGGCAATTGAAGGGGATATTTGTGAAACCCTGGGTCCATTGATTAGATGGCACTTGGAAACTATGGAAAATGATTGTTAATTGTATTATGTTTGAATTCTACAATATCCTGCAGTTGTTTCTATCAGACAAAGACTGTGTTTTCATTTGCTGGACTCCTGTAGAGCCAGTGTAAAGTAACACCGTACAGCAAAACATACTCCATTTTATCAGAGGTAAATGCCTGGCCTGGGCACGTGGGGATCAACTCCAATCTAACCAAGTTTAACTCATAACCTAAAACGCACAGCCAGGCTTACCTCAGCTAAAATGAAAGAAATAGCTGCTCAAAGCAAGTTTCTTTCACGCCCCAGTGCCATAGCAGTAATTGCACAAAGACCTTTTTATTATAAGTTGATTTTCTTGAGAAATGGATTTAAAAAAAAATACTGTAAAGTGTTTATTTTTTGTTTGACCTTTATTAACCTACATCTTAGGGCTTTCCCAAGAGGAGAGTTGTTGGTAAATTAACCCTCATAGACACACACAGTAGCATTTCTGCACTGCATCAATGGTTATGAATGTAATGGGGATATGACAAGAAAATTTGGTGCTATTTAAACAATGTCATAGGTCACCATATGGGATTTGACCAAAAAAAAAAAAGTTTTTTGGGAATTAAAATGAAAACAAAAATGCTTGAAGTGTACCTTAACTTTTTAATAGTATTTGATACCATTTATGGTGGGATGAAGGTAAACTTTTTTTTCTGTCTAGAGCAGTTTCTTTCTATCTTTGATACATAAATCAATATATTTTTACTTAATACTAATCAGACAAATTATAGTCAAGTGCTTGGGTGGCTGTGTGGTTCAGAAATGATGGATAAAAACTCCTAGTGATCCCAGCCATTGTGTCATATGTAGCATAAATTAAGGTACTAGGAAAAAAAAGTGGGTTTAACAGACACAGTTCTGTCACATCTCCTGTTTTCTCAATGTTGAATGCAAATCCTAGTACAAAGTGAAGAACGTTCTGTTTTTGTACATTTGTACTCTTTGATACATTTATTAAGGTCAAATTAAATTTGATATAGTAGGTTTTATTCTGAAATGCTCCGTGTATGCAGCTCCATAATTGCCAAGGTACATGATAGTGCATAAAACTATAAAACTGCTTAGACAGATGAGCAATTTATACATTACAGTGAGGTGTGTATGGCAAAGTATGTTAGTTTAATTGGGTGCCAGGATGTTGGAGCCTTAAATCTTAAGAGCTGGAGTATTGTCTAGGAGACTATTTAATACTGCAGTGAATTTTTGAAATGATGTACCTGACCTGTGAAGAAAAATACGATGTTGTAAGATCTCAGAATTAAAATTACCCTAAGGATACTAAAATTTGAACATCAGAGTGGCTACTGCAGTGTTAGATTACTTCTAAAATGCTTGTCATTCTGCTGTCCATGACCAAAGATAAGCAGCCTTGTGAAAAATTAACAGAAATGCACACCACTCTTCTTTTTAAAGAATCTATGGCATGTTTCAAAGGTTTTATACTTTTTTTACCTCGTGCCAGGGCAGAGAATGTTAACTAAAAATGAAAACAAAAAATCTAGCAAGAAGTAGGAAAGTGTGCAGTTCACTGAGACTGCTACACCTTTGACACTGAGGGAAAACAATGTTAGTTGAGGGCTTTGATGTGATAATGTGAAATTGGCAGGGATTACATTAAGGAGAAGGTTCCGTGAGACTGTGTGTACACAAGAACACTATCAGTACTGCAGAAATACCTGTCAAGACAAATTTGTGCTATTTCTGATCAGAGACTCTCTTCTGTTTAGCAGGTTCAGGGTCACATGCCTCCGCTCATGATCCCAATTTTTCCACACGACCAGCGGACACTGGCAGCGGCTGCTGCAGCCCAGCAGGGATTCCTCTTCCCCCCAGGAATAACTTACAAGCCAGGTAAGCTGACAGGGATGTGAAGCTATTTAACATTTTAAGATATTAACTATAGCTTCTAATGCAGTCTGTCTCATATGGAGGATACTATGCTACTGGCATAGCTGGTTGGAAATAGTGTGAAGTTTTGCAGCTCCACTTCAAAAGGCTTCTGGTTTGAAGGATGTAGATGGAATATTAGTTATTGAAACGTTCTCTCTTTTTTTAACCATAATTTCCCCCAAAGTCATTTTTTCTAAATATGGGCCTACTAGTGTGCTAATTTGCATCTGCTCTGCCCTGTGCCATTGTACAAAAGCTATGTGTCCGTAATTAATTGTGTTATCTTCAGTATACTTGTCTTGTGCCAAAATTGTTACTCTTAATTAGTAATAAAAGTCAGAGCAAGCATAGTTTAATTATCAGACTTCAAATGGGCAACTTTTTGTTTGATTTCAATCTAAATAATAAAAGGTTTCAGTAGTTCAATCCTATTCATCAGACTTGTAACAGGTCATATAACCTTGCAGTGAAATATGTTTTGAGATGATTTAGCAAATGTTATGATTTCTTTCTTTTTTCCTCCGAGTTTACAGGACTCCTGGGGAATTCAATTAGGGATATAATGGTTTGAAGCTACTTTCAGAGCCTCCTTGTAAACAGGGCTTTAAATGTTTAAAGACACATTGCCAAAGGAATTCAATGTAGGAAGATAGTTAAGTAAATACGAGTCAACCTTATTTTCATTTGTGCATTCTTTGTAAGTGACCTCAGTCCAGAAGAAGCCACCTTATTTTACTCATTAATTCCCTGTCAAGCTGCCTTTAGCATATTAACCTGATAATAACTACAAAACATAAATACCAGTTTCTTTTTTTGACATGAAATATAAAATGTACAAAGCAAGGCATTGATCCTGCTCCCCCTGATATTAGTGGTATTTCTGCAGTTGACTGCAGCAGGAGCAGGGTCATATCCAAAGTAAAGCCTCAAAATAGATGATATAAACAGTGTGCTAATTAAAAGCCAGGTTGAACCTAAAATCTCTTCTAGCAAGTTTACTTAATATTAGAAGAAATGAGGCCAAACAGGATTTCAGCAAGCATTTCCGTTTGTCCAGCTCAAATCTGTCTCTTTAGTCTAGAGACATTCCTCTTTAAACACCAAATATTTTTAAACACTGAATCTTTTAATTATCTTATCCGAAGTCTTAAAACTCCCAAAGTTCTTTTCCAGTTTGTCTTGCTGGGGCATTATATGCAGGAACAGATAATGGAGCTCTGAAAGGTAGCTGGCTCTAGATGGCACAGGCTGATGATCATTCACACATACAACCACCTTACAAGACTTGTGGAACAAGATGTAGAATATTTTCTCTCCAAAGATGTGATAAGAATTGCCAGTTGTAGAAACTGTCTCCTGCACTCTGGCTAATAACTATCATCTTGTAGATGAGAGAAGGCCTGTGTTTTAGTTTCTTGCTTTTCTCATTTTAATTGGAGTAGCTTTCTGAGTAGTCAGTCACACTTCATGATTAAACTGTTGGTTCATCACCCCTCTGAAAGGTGGCATGTCAAATCGCTTCATTTTGCTTTTGGCCCTGTAGGCTACTTGGTACTGCAGTAACTCTGGAGGAGGAATACCAGCTTGATTTTCTGCACAGGATCAGATTTTTGCAGTTATCCCAGGGTGTTCTTTACAGTACCTGTTCTAACTCTTAATCAAGCTTGTACTGGTTTGCCTGTGACTCTGTTGATCTCACTGCAGAAGCCTAAAGCTGTCTTCCTTATCTGCTGGAATAAAAAAAAAAAAAAAAAAGAAAAAAAAAGAAAAAAGCATATAATAATTGTTAAAAGGTTGAAACACAGACAGAAATCAAGACCTAGATATCTCAGAACAGAACTATCGGGAACAGAGCTATATTAGTAGTTTGTACCCTGCTGAAGTTAATAAGGGACCATAGTCACAATGATCTGGCTATGCTCAGAGGCTGGCAAGAAATGAGAGTATTTATATTTATAATATATTTATTAAACTCTACAACAAGTGTGGTACAGTCAGGTTAGTTGTTTCTGTTGGAGAGAGATCATGATTAAAAAAAACACACCATAACTACAGTTTCTATTGATTAATTCCTATTTTTGGCACTCAGCACAGTAGCTTAGGAATTAATGAAACTGGAGATTAAGTTACACTTTTCATAGAGAGGTTCTTCAAAGTCATTTCTGAGGAATATTTATGAACTTGACTGCTACTGCTTGTACTCTTCTAGCTTTGTTAGAAATGAAAGTTTCACCTCTAGAACTGTCAGTTTAGACTCATACTTCTGAGGAAAGGAGGGAGATGCATTAACCCTTCAGAGAATTACAGTTTTCTTTTTGCCAGCCTGTTTGGTTTTTGCTTCTTCATTTTACTCTAGATTGATGTTGGCAAGACTAAGTTTTGACAGTGCCGATTTTCCTTGGCATTCAGAAATGACATTGAAAGGGATTTCAGTAATAGGAGTTGTGGGAGCTGGACACTTTTGAAACTCTATGTCAATTAGGAAATGTCTAATGGTTGGGTGTGCACATTTACTTTCTTAGCCCACAAAATGGGCTAGAGATAAGCCATCTCTGCTTTGTAAGCAGCATATCCACCTTAGGGTACCTTGATGGCCAGGATAAGAAATCTGACCTTGATGCACAGGTAGGGTTATGATTATTTGTGTAAGTCCATGCATGTGTGTTTTCATGGGCTAAATGGGAACCAAGTTCATGTCTCTTTAGCTCAGTGTCAAGATATCAGCTTGAGTACTGTTGCAAATATGAATTTAAACCCTGCATTTAAACATAAGTAGTAAAATGTAACAAATTACAGTAACTTACATCCTCAAGGGGAGGAACTCTGGGAAGGAAAGAGAATTATACAGATTTTGAGGCCCTTCCAGAACATGCCTGCTGAACTCCTGGGCTCTAAAATATTATGAATAGACGACTCACAGAATTGCTGATGTATGGCTATTATTTGTATCTGACAGGACAGTTTCCTACTGCCTGGCTGGATCTATATATCAGGTGACTGTAGCTCTCTTCCCTCATGTTTTGGCACTGTAGGAGGTGAAAGAGCCAGAAGTTAGCAAGAACTCATGACAAGTAATAATTACATTAGAGAAAAAAAGCCCCAAAGTCCCGTGCTTCGTTACGTATCTCAAAGTCATGTAATATAATTTTCCGGCATGGTAAGTACTAATTGAGAAATCAGAGCTGCATAGACCACCTAATTAATTTTTTATACATATTTCAGTATTTATAGTGTATACTGGATTAATTAAAACTTTAGGGTGCTTGCATCTCAAATGACTGTTGCGACTATTGACCTGCAGGCACTTGACGAGCCTTGCAGAGTACCTGGTTATGGGGTTGCCCCTTATTCCAGTGGGAAACTGAATGAGGCAGCTGTTAGGAAGCTAATACTTGCCCAGAGGTGCCACACAATTATTATGATTATTTTGCATTCCAAGTACAGCAAAGCAACTATTCTAGCTTTCTGACTGTGACCATGATAGTTACTACTTGGAACTGCTGGGTAACATAAGTGTTATTATACCTTTTCTTGCGCTGCAAATTTTCCCTTACTTAACTAACTGCACGAGCCCACAAAAAGTCAGTGTATCCTTGAATATGATTAGAGTTTCCCCTCTGGTGTCATGGGTAAAATGGCACTGAGTGCTATAAGGAGGAAGATAGCTCCTGCCTCTGTTTTGCAGTGCCTCAGGAGATACTTCTTTCCAGGTTTGTGAATAGGAGGAAATGAGGATGATGAAAGTAGGATGGTTAGAGAGGAAAGATAGAGGTTCGTGCTGGGCAGGAGCTAGATCATGCTGGCTGTGTAGCAATGCTTTAGGTGACTTTGAAAGCAATGACCACTTTTGCACAATAGTCTTCTACAAGTGTTTTGTGTTCTGTCAGTTATCGGATGTGGAAAGTATCTATGAAATAGAAAATAGAGACTTTGAGGCAGGGGGTGTGTAAACATCTATTTAAATGGGTTTCCAGAGTAATATACTGCAGTGTATTTTCAAAGTATATCTTCTTATTGAATGCAGAAAGTATATAAAGATCATGATTACAATGATTCAGAAACAACCCCTGTCTGCCTGCTTAGGTCATTCTGTTTTATATACTAAAATAATTTGCAAGAGATTTTTCTATGCTAGCAACATAATGAAATGTGAAAATTCAGACTGTTTTTGTAGGCCAGTGGCAAAAATAACGAGAAATGCAGTTAAATTTTTGTCATTGTTCTGTTTTTGCTGTGAAGCACGTAAATATTGAGTACTTTGAAGTCATAGCAAAAAAATTAGATGAAACGTGACAAAAAAAAAACTGTCATATTTATTGTCATCTGGCTGGACCTCAGATACAGCACTATGAGATATTTGTCATAGAACTAATTAAACTCGGTGATTACAGTAACTAGTGTGCATAGCTAGCATCTTCTTAGATCCGTTGGGTTACACTGATATTCATCATTGCCATTTCCATTTGGAACAGGCCTTTCAGAAGTTTTTCCTAAAGCTGAAAATGGCTCATATTTTATATAACGCAGTACTGTGTTTCCACAAGCTGCTGTTCCTCTTGGCACGTGAGAACAGAATCAGCTGTGTACTGATTTGGATGTGTATTTTTACATGGCAGAGGTGCTGCACAAGCCTCATTTCTGATGGAAATTCCCCAGCCCTGATCTAGTCTGTCATGTGTTCCTTGTTAGGTTTTAGTGGTTGCAATAAGGAATCTGTAGCCTTCAGGATCTGTTGCTGCAATCTATGTGTGGCTCACTCCTAAACGTTGAGGTGAGAGCAGGAAGTGGTAGTAGGGAGCTGAATATTTTCAACTGGGATTTGCACTACAGTTTTTTACCTGCAAGCAGGCAATCGTTGGGACAGCTGATATTGCTGTGATGCGAGGATGGTAATAAGGCAATGCTGTGGCTCTCAGATCCCACTCAGATCCTCCCTGTTCAGGAAGAACTAATGTTGTGTCATCAGACAGAGGAGATGCTATATAGTATTGCCTTATCTGTTACCTCTGTAAATCTTTCATTCAATCCTGAAGAAGGGGTGGGCATCTGTAACTCTGCTGTGTCCCAGCAACATTGTGAGGAGTGGTACGCTCTTCTCTGTCTGCTTACTGTGCCTGGGAGGAGAGGTCCTGCAACGTGTGATCTGGCACAGTTCTTCCACCCCTGTTTTCTATTATTCTATGATTGCATAAGGATAATGTGCAAATGGCTGTTCAAGATCCATATGTGAAGAGACAGGTTTTAAAGCATAATCCCCAAATGGGTAAGCCGTTATCAAACTGAAAACTTGGAGAGTCAGTTTATGTCTTACAATCATATTTTAGGAAAAGTTGGTAATAAACCAAAGCCTTCCCCTCCTGTGAATCACACAAGAGCTGACTCTTCTGTTGGCCAGACTTCCTTCTTTTCCTTACAACTCGCAAAGCCATGATCTGGAAAGTAAGTCCATACATCCTATAAATAAAATCCAGTACGCTTCCTCCCTTAATCCAAGGCAAACTGAAGAACACTTATGTTATCTCTACACGGAACAGCATGGTACAATTTTATGCTGCTTTTATTCTGTTGAAAATGTTGCTCAACCTGACAAATGAAACAGAAGTCTGGTGTGATTTTCTGTAGCTTGTAAACACCAATTTATATATAAACAGCAGCAGCCAAATGTAAATAGACAATCAACACAGCAAGGAGATTGAAGAGATTGGTTTGCAAAACATGACAGATTTTCTTCTTTTGGCGTTCTTCTTAGGCCTGGTTATGAAAGGCCAGCATACCCTGGTACGTAAAGCAGACTTGTCTGAACATGCTCTGTCTTCTTTTGTTCAAATTTAAAAGAATGGATCTTCATGCAAGCATTCCAAATTGAGGGAAAAATTTGGAAAAAAAAATTGCTACAATGCATTGACTGATTTCTTGCCAAGACAGCTACTGAGAAGCTTCTTGATCCATTCTTGCACTGAGAAAGTTAGAGGGGGGAAATATGTACCTTCTGTAATTAAAAATTAAAACCAGTCAATTCCCTGCATGCTCAGTTTCCTCAAGGGAGGAAAAAAAAACCCCTAAAATACCTTTGCTCTGCTTTTACTGCTTTGTGTCAGCAAAGTATTCCAAGGCTGACAGAGTATTAATTTTTGTTCTCAGCGTAATGACGCTGCTCACACACCAGGACTTAACCATAATTTAGGGTATTAAAATAAGGACAAAAAAATAAGGGGTGGTGTGGTGTGTTAATAATAAATAAATGGCATAACTATGAAATTATACTTTCCTTTAACAAAAGAAGGTACTGTAGCCAGCAGGTGAGCAAGAGAACACTATAGGGTGTGGTAGAGATACTGTTAAATTAATTGTGAAGCTAAAAACTCCGTGTGTCTGCCCGTGTGTGGGGGTGTGTGTATGTGTGTGTGTAAAATATCTGGCTATTTCAAACCATAGGAGCGTGACAGCTGTGAAAAAGGAGTGCCGCGGGGAATTCTTTTAGAGTTTGATTTTTTTAAAAATATGTTTGACATGGAAAATGTTTTAGTACAAATAAAGCAACTGGTATTGAACTTAAAAAGTATATGTGGAGGGGGAGGGAGAACGAAGAGATTGCTGTGTGGAACAGGAATGAATTATTCATGATATTTAAAGAAAGAATGCCTCCAAAATGTTCTGCAAGACAGTCCATGCTGATGACTTGGATGGTTATTTCCCTTCCCCCTCCCTCCTTGCCCCCCCCCATTTAAAGCATCGTTAATTTCAACATCTTTGTGATTTTTTTAAAACCTTGTAAAATATTTCTGAAAGAAACGTTATTTAACTTAGATTAGGGTCTTATTTATTCAGATAATTTCATATAAATATCAAAGAGATGAGTAGAACTGCTTAACCACAAAGAGACAGCTTTACTAGTTTAAGAAAGGAGCTAGATTTTTTTGTTGCTTTTTTTTAAGCAAAAAAAACAAAAAAAAAAAAACAAAAAAAAAACCTCACAAAAACAACAAAACCACCAACATCTTTGCAAACTAAAATCAACCTCATGGAAGGGGGAAAATAAGAGGAGATATTTTGAACATTACTCCATAGGACACCAGTTCAATATAGTGTTAGTGAATGCATTGTAGCAGAGCTCCATATGCAATCAGAAGCCAATTGTTACTGGACTGTGTACAAGCACATACTGTGCTCAATGGTCTGATGAGGTATTATGGATATGATGCAAAGAGACCTTGTGGATTAGACATGTACAATTTATTAAAAAAGTGAAACAACTGAACATTTTAAACAAGCTGAACACAATAGCACTTCAGGTGGTAAATAAGAAGAGTTCTGAGAAACCCAGTGTCTGCCAAGACTTTGGGTATTGTCATTTATTTGAGGGTGCTGACAAAAAAAAAAAATAATCTAACTCTTGGAATGTCCAGATTATTTCATTTTGGATGTGATATTTTCCCTCATTTTTACATTATGCTTTCAGCATGGAAAAGTTAACACAAAACAGGCTGATTATTATAAATCTCAACAATGTACAGAAGAACAGTGTTAAAATGTAGGCTACAGATAGTACATAACTGTCTTTCAATAAGAAGCTTGAGCCAAAGCAATATTCCATTAAGTCACAGTTACACGTAATTTATCCATCTCTGTATTAATTTTTACATTACAGATTCTGTTGATAAACTGCTCCAGCATTCCTTCACTCTTTACATGGACTAAGAGTGTCAATGGCACTGTGTGACACCACGTTGCACTTACTTTTGATCAATAGTATTCTATATATAGAAAATATATATTTTCTAAAGTATTTCCTGTCCTCTCTATGCAGAGGGCATACATTTTCAGTTCCCAGAAAGTAGAACTCAGAGAGTTTTGGGTTTGGATCTTTGTATAACTGAACAACTACTTCATCTATTAGAGTTGAGTAGGGTCCCAGCTGTAAGGGGTAGCTAAAATTGTATTTACAGCTATTTTTCAGACTTTTGTCACTGGTATCTGAAAGGAGTTGTCAAAACAAAGACAACCTCAACCTGTGTTAAGTCAGCTAGGTGGCTTTCCCAGGAAAGAGCTACTTCATACTGAAAGGAAAGTACTCTGTATTAATCAGGGCTGAAATTTCTTGGGTAGCAGCAAATTTATCCTGTTTTAGGAAACGTGGTGACATTTTTTCTCCCTTCTGGAACCACTGGGGTTTCCTAGAGTATCTTGTTTGTGTGTCTGTGGCCTTAAGTCCCACTTTGTGCCCAAGTTTACACGCCTGATTTGAACATGGCTTTTGAAAAACAAAAATGTTTTGTTATGTTTTGCCAGTTTGCCTACCAGCTATCTGCTAACAAAAAAGTTCCAAGGGAGCATGGCAAGTCCGTGCCCAGCAAAGCCTTTTGTTTTTGCAGATGTTTAGGCTTAGAGTGCTGTGGAGCACAGGCAATCCTAGGTCCATGTTTGCACTTGTCTGCTGCTATTCTCTGCTCATTGTCTGAACCTGCACGCATTGTTCTCCCGACAGGTGATAACTACCCTGTGCAGTTCATTCCATCAACAATGGCAGCTGCTGCTGCTTCTGGACTCAGCCCTTTACAGCTCCAGGTATGTGCCAGAACAAAAAAATGTGGGATCGAAGCCAAAATTTTAGGGGAAAACTGCTAACCAGCTGTATGCTAAATAATAGCCTGAATGTTAAATATTTTTTTGAGCACAGCCCAGGAGGATTAACACCTTATGTACTCATGGTACTGCAAATACAGCAACATGCATTCAACCTTGATACTCCAAGTGAAAGACACTATTCTGTGTATTTTATATAAGCAGAATTAATGGTATTTTCTTAATTATATGACCAGTCGGTAAGAGACATGTTCAAAGGTCTTTTTCCATTTTATTTTCATTTAGACTTTCCCCTGTATCTGCACGGTACTACCTTTAGCTGGGGCAGTAAGTGTATGAAAACCAAAGTGTTACCGAGGCTTTTTCACAGACAGCATGGGGTTGACAATACAATAAATCGCAAACTCTTTTGGCTTCTGTATTTAGGTAATCTCTACCATTCTGTGCATTAAGCTGGTCAAATGCCAAGCATAGTCAGGATGCTCGGTTTGGTCATTTTTGGCATAGAAGTACTGAAATGTTGTGAGAGGAAGATTTATGTGCCGTGTTATTAGCTAGCTTTTGTGGCAAGAAGTTTTTAATTTCACAAGAAAAGACACAACAATGTCATAAATAATGAAGAAACAGTCAAAAGCTTTCAGAGTTAAAATGTGTGGAAAGGAAGTGACAGTGAACATGAGAGGAAAGGCCATTAAAGATGCATGTAACTATTTGCGAGTAAACCTTTGAAACCTCTGTTAGAGTTCGGTTCACATACAAAGTAGGAATAAATTGTGCCTAGAGTAGCGGTGTACTGCCATGTTAATCTCCAAATATCTATTTTGCTTACCCTTATGCAATTATACCTTTATTTCCAGAGGGACCAAAGCAAATTAAAAACCCTCTCATCTTTTCCCATTGCTGATATTCTTATTGCAGAGTTAGGATAAGTGAGAATGGGACCAAAACTCACTTTTCACCCATGGAACTGTCAGAAAAGAGCCCTTGAGCTTACATCCGACCAAACCTAAAAGCAGAACTTGGAAAGGGAACACCCTGACGCTTCAGAGCAAGATCTCCCAGAATGTTTCTGGGTCATAATAATATATTAAGACTGTCTCTTAGACAAACTTTATACTAAAGAGGAGATTTTCAAAAGGAAATATACCAGATACTCAATTTTAGCTGGTATCCTTTGAAAATCTGTATCTGCATACTTACTGAAGCAAAAGTCCCGTTAGCAGTTATAGATGGGACCCGCAGATCTATTTGCACATCAGCTTTGACCAGAACCTACAGCAATACTGCATTTTTGTTAATTTTTGGAAATTATAGGCCAAGCTGTTAAAAATAATATGCACACATAGAGAAAAGAACCGTTGAAGAAAATGATGTTCATAAATTCAAAAATGTGTGAGGGTATAGAATTTCCCCAGAAATATTTATTGTGAAAGAGTGTTTTGGCTTATTTCCCCCCACCCTTTCTATTTTGTTTGAATTTCACTTCTATGGCATTTCAATTTTTTTTAATATGTTGTGTTCATAAGGACTTAAATAATAGAGTACTTGGCCTTCAGTTGGTACCTGCTCATCTGATTGTTGAATTGGCTGAAGTGTATTGACTCTTAGTATTGATGCTTTCTTTGTGTAATTTCCTTAAGTGTACCCTAAAAGAAAAGTTTATTTAGGTACGACTGTGGGAGGGAACTTGTTGTTATACCTGATGCATCATGAAAACTGCTAAGGGCGTAGCATTTCAGCTCATTTCTTTATCTTTGCTTCCCTTCCCCCTTCTTTCTCTGTCTTGCTTCCATGCGCCCCACCCACTTATTTATTTACATAAATATGTGACCATGGTATCTGAGTATTTCCCAAGCGCTTAAAATACTGATCAGAAATCTGTTTCTTTCAGCCAGTGGGAGAAATAGCTAATTAATTTGCAGGTTTAGTTTTGTTACTACATGTGAGTGTGTGCGCAGTATCTGTGTTTGGAGAACTTGTAGACTAGAAACTATCACAATTAAACAAGCTTTGCAGGAGTTCTAATGATTCAGCTTTACTAGAGAATTACTATTACTTGCAAAATTGTATTCCCAAATCTATATCTACCTGCAGTGGAAATTCTTTATCATCTTCAAGCTTGTAGCCTCCTCTTTTTTCACTTACTTTGTTGGGGATGATGAAACTTTGAGTAAGAGCTACAAGCAATTTTGTGTTCTCATTTTCCTGTGTTTTAGGACAGCTTCGATGGAAGCTGTGAATCTATTAGCAGAGAAAACAATTTACTTCCAGGTACACTGGTTAACCGTAGTAATTATTGCATGGAGGATTTTTCTCCAGTGACAGTGACTAATTAATGGTTTGTCTATTTCACCAAAGCTCTATTTAGCCCATTAGTATCAAAATGCGTTTTCTCTGGATGCCTCTCTCTCTCACCTGCAGATAATATATCTCCTTGAGTTGAAGACTATAGTTGTAGTGACTACATGCCTATACCATTCCAGAGGTATAGAAAGTTCTGCTCTGGGTTGATGTTAGATAGCTTGTTTTCATTTCATACTCATCTCATGAGGATTACATTGATGGCAACATTGAAAATAAGATACAAAGATGCTGTCCCACATTTCCCACTGACAGCTTGGCCTTGTCTCATGAGTTTCCTCAACAATTTGGATAAGATTTAAATAATGTGTTCTAGAACCACACATTGTTAGGCCCTTCCTGATGAGGGAACAGTTCTCCAGTTGTTGTCTGAGAGGGACAATACTGCTTCTGTGTACTCCTCCAGCTTCAAATAACTGTGAGTGAGTCCCACCATATCAACCTTGTGCTAAATAAAGGTGCATTACCGAAAACGGCTGTAGCAGGTATGCATAGGGGTGTGTGAACCAATTCTGATGCACATTACAATAAAAGTTGGTTGTTTTTAAAATTAATCAATGAGAGCAGACAAAAAGGGACAATATTTTTCATTCTTCTCTTTTATTTACCCACCTTCTGTTCCATTTCTCTCCTTTTGCATTTCCCTAAATTTTGTCCTTAATTCCCAAATGATTGCAGTAATATTAACTGATTGTAGATATGTATGAGGAGTAACCTTGCTACAAGAGTGAACTTGATCATAAAATCAATTTCCCTGACTCTTGTGGTAGCAGTAACCTTGTTACTGGAAAGTCTCACTGGGGCAGAGGGGGCACCTATACATCCTTACTTTCAGACAAGGAAGGTTACCGCGTGTTCTTTATGGTTTAAAAATCTGCCTTCATTCCTATATGCTTCTACAAAGCTGTCTATGTGCTAAATAAGGAAATGTTGCAACTCTCTCAACCACAACTGATAAACTGTTGATAGAAATGGAAGCACTACAATGATGCTAACTGGAGTTATTCCTAAACAAAGCAAGCTCTAGGAAAAAAAAGCCAAACAAAAAAAGCGTTGGTTCATAACTTCTTTCCTAAACTATTTGTGTAATTTGTCCCTTAAAATTTATCGCTTACAACCCTAATGAACCTTGGCAAGTCTTGACTGTAGTTGCAGCTGTGTTCTTGAGGCCTGAAGTTTTTATAATTGATTTAAAAAATGTAAGTTTTAGCTAAACATGTGTTTATCTATTTCTGTTCTCCCCTCCTATCTCATCCTATCCTTTCATACTCTCTTCTAATTGCAAACAAAGTAAATGACCTTTTGTTATACCGCTGGGTGTGGATCCAGCACACCGCTGAAGCATTGCATAGCCTGCCTCAGGGGCACAATATGAGTAGAGTGAAGGCCAAAGAATGCTATTTTTAGTTGAATAGTTCGGCAGATGGAGGCATGAATACTCATATATCTGAAGGTTGAGGGGTTTGAACCATTAATTTTGATAATGTATTTAACCCTGGGAACAATCAGAAACTGTAACTCTAAGGTTACAATGCTTTTGACCTTTGGAGAACAGAGGGCACTCAGTACAGTAAACAATATATTACATTCCTACTTATTCCAATTCTCTCACACATATAAATTTCAGGACACAGTTGACATTTGCTTTCCTCAGCTATTTTAGTGCTGGTTCTTAAAGTAAGTCAAGAAGAATGTGCAGGAAAGAGGCCAATGTAATGTGACATTCATGTAAATACAGCCTTTAAATAGCTAAGATGTTAGATGTGGCCTTTTATGAAGAAATATTATTCTCAGAAACTAGAATCTTGGTGACTTATTATGTCAATGAAAAAGTTGTTTCAGTGGAACTGCTTCTCTTATTGGAGTTTCCTCTATATGTTGTAACCTTAAAGCAATTTTTAGTGGGTCTAATGTGATCTGATAGTGATAGCTTATACTCAAGGTGATTTGGTCCCACTCTGGTACCACATCATGCAAAGTGATGTACCTGCCTTATGTCTTATTAAATGATGCATACTCCTCTTCTACAAATATAGCAGTTAAATATCACGTAGCTTAAGTATTTCTAATTAAAATATTTCCATGTGTCAGCATACTGGTAATGTATTATTTTAATCCATTTATTTTGTTTATGAAACAGTGACATATGTTTAGATTGTGAAATATATGAGCCTTAAAAATCACTTTATTGAAGAAAATTAATTTCTACAATGCTGTCTCAGTAATGTGTTCACTCACCCAGTCAGTCACTGGCAGGGCTGCCAGTCTTAATGTTGGTTAGACACAGTTTAACAGTTTTATCTGACATAACACTCTCGGATGTAGTAGGCAATAATAATTTTTTCAAGTGCAGAAACGATAAGGTTTCCTTTTTTTTTTTTTTTCTTAACACAATGAAGAATGGAGATTGGATAATTGTGAAAGAGATTTAGTGAGACCAATCAAAATTAAAAACAGCCAGTTACCTTCTCAAAGTTAGACACTGTAATTTGTTTGTCAGCAGGTAGATGTTTGGGTCAGCACTGCAAGTGAGTGACTGTCAGCGGGAATTCCTACAAGACAAGTAATTTCCCTCAATGTATTACTGACAGATTGCTCACTTCTTCGAATCACTAGAGAAA